GGGATACTGTTGGCTGGATGTTTTGGGTTGGTGGACTGTTCTCAGTCCAGCAGTAAGAGTGAGGTGTTTAAAAACTCAGCGTGTAAAATATATTCGCTAATATTTCAGTGTCACTGCAGTGCAGAGAATGATCCAAAATAATAAATCCAAATAATACCTGTTCAGTGGTGGTCCTGTGGGGGTCCTAACCATCATAAAATGGGGTAAATGGCATCTACAGATTATGCAGATAAACAGATGGACCACAATCTGTAATTTCAGAACTACAAAGTGCACCAATACAGTAAGAAGACCTATAAAATGGACAGTGAGTGTCGATACAAGGTAAGAGGCCAGTGAGTGGATATCTACTGATCCACTAGACCAGTGGCACTGATCACTGCAAAAAGGACAACTTGGTCTATTGTGTATACAGAGTATCAGAAAGATAGAAGTTAGCACTTGTATTTATGACACTGTCCGCTGTTTGAGTGCAACTTCCTTGTGGAAATCTCAGAAAGTCAGTTTACAAGTCGTCCAAATGCAACATCCAATCTGACTGTACTCATGTAGGACATGATATGAAAGTGGCCCTAATCTGATTTGAAAAGATTAGATTTTTGTGTCACATGTAGGCAATTTGTGCTGTTTTAACACTGTAATGTACAGTACGTCACTGTGCACGTCAGCCTTGATCACCCTTCATTGGTTTAATTTCCAGTCTAAATGGCCGTTAAGTAAAGTTATCAGGAGGTATGTCCAAGGAGATTAGATAAAAAATAATCCAACTGAATATGAAGGGAAATGTTTCAAAGGAAAAGAAGTAAAAATCAGGACTTCCAATAGTGGAGTTCCAAAATCAAGCTCCACTCTTGCTTCAAATCTGGAAAAATCCACAGGTGTTTCTGTCCATTCTTCCACTGCAGGATGATAACTCAGTGCTGTGGGTCTGAAAGTATGTGAAGCTGTCAAGAAGCCCTTACTGAGAAAAGGAAAGCAAACATAGAAGCTGCTGGTGTTTGCAGAACAATGAACTGGCCACCTCAGAGTCCGACCCCAGTGTCATTGAATGGATTGTTAGAAGAAAATGCAACCAACTTTAAGACTGAACTTTGGTCTGAATGGAAAAAAAATACCTGCAGATTTCTTAAAAAATTGAAAGTGAGTCTCCTGAAAAGAATGAAAGCTGTAATAAAGGCAAACAGTGGACACACTAAATACTGAAAAATGATACTATATTAAGTTGTATGTGTGGTGCATTTTTTCTTGATGCTGGAAAAATAATAACTTGTACTCAGTGGCTGTTTTGTCTGTAAATTATTGAGCTTGGGTGGCCATGGAAGCTGAACAGATGCACTGTTTTTGCAGCAGCATCTGAATTCTGACTCATTGTTTAACAGAGACTGATCTCCTTCAGAACCACAGTGCTGGTGCCGTGCTACTTTCGCATTTGCATGCGCCTAAACTCTTGTACCATCTCTCATGTGAGCTGCCCCAGCGCTGCCTCCTGCTTTCCTTTGGCCCCTTGCTCGGTTCGATTGATTTGTTTGCGAGTTCAGGCAGTGTGGGTGTAATGTGTTATGGCATGTTGCAGGGTTTCTCTGGCCAAGCACGGAGCGTTGGAGCTCGCTGGAGCTCAGCCGCCTGCTGTGTGCGTGACAGCTGTTGTGTTTCCTCTTCCTGCCTATTCATATGGCTCATGAGTTCCAGCAGCATGCTTTTATCTCTTTCTCTCTACCTTCTCCTCCTCTTTCACCCCTGTTTGCCATACACCCCTCCCCCCGGAGCGGTTCTCTCTGACTCCAGCCTGTTTTACTAGCATAGGAGTTGAATCAGGCTGAGCTCACATTAAGGCCGCCTTGATGTCTGATACCCTAAATGCGCTCTGTTCTGCTCCAGAAATATCACTCTTTTCTGGGAGAGAGTGGGGTGTAGCACTTATGATGGCAGGCCTGGTGAGAGTGCAGGCTTGGATATTAGCAGCAGCTCTGGCTGGGGAGCCACTTTAGGGAGGAGAGAGAAGAGCAGGGTGTGCTGTACTGTACTTAGCTATCTTTTACCTGCTGCCGGGTTACAGCTTGAGGTGGTGGGATGTAACAGTACGTTCTGACGGTCCTCAGAAATCCGTGAATTTTCAGGTTTACCACAAGGAAAGTGCATTCAGACAACTGTCAACAGTTATATACAAGTAACCTATGGATAAACTTCCATGTTACTTATCACCAGGCAGTACATTCACTGATATCATATAAACACAGTAGACCAACCTGGCATTGTCCACATGATGAATTTGACAGTTGTTGACATGACAACTCTCAACAAGTTAACACGGACCACCAAAACACACCACAGGAGTCTTTATTTCTTTAAATCATTAACACATTCAATGGCAAGACTCAGAGAACAGGCTAATCCAATACATATCTAACATGGTCTCAAATAGAAGAAAGAAGGTCACAACCAGATAAACAACAAAAACACAAGAAAGCTGGAAGCTAGGAAGACTAGGAAATCTGAGAACCAATCCTGACCACAAAGCCTTCCAGGCCCAGAGCTCGAAAAGATGATATATATACAAAGAAAATGGCCGGATTTGAGAAGCTAGTGTTCATTCTGCAGGTGAACAGCAATGCTTGCTGACTAAATGGACATAATTCAGCTGTGTGGTTACACACCTGTGTGTGGAATCAGAGCAGGTTGTTATCATGCCACATTTGACTCATCAGTGCATTTTTGTGGCTTAACATCGGCCCCAGGCGAGTGTTTACCATTGATGATGCTTTCCTCTGCATATTCATATGATGTCATATTAATCCCCTCAAAGTGATGTCAGGAATTTACTAGTTGGTACTCATAGTTTTGCATAGTAGGAGTTGTTTGGAATGCAGCAAAATTAACTAGAAAAAGAAAACGGATAGAACATGAACACAGCCAACCAACTTGGCACAGGTACATCTCAGCAGATATTGTTCACAATTTAAATTTACCTGTCACTAAGTATAAACTACTATTACTTAAAATTTGATGGTTTTTTGACTTAACAAGTTGATGAAGACTGCCCAAACACACCATAAGAGTCTTTATCCTTAGAGCATAGAGCAGAGTGGCAGGACTCAGAGAACAGGACAAATCAAGACATATTTAAACATGGTCAGAAATAGGCGAAGGAAGGATCAACCAGATAAACTCCAAAACACAAGACAACTGGATACTAGGAAGACGAGGAAACATGGGAACTAATGTTGTGTCACGTGTAGTAAGTTTCTACTTGATGTTTCTAACTTCCAACCCCAAAGCGTTCCGCTGTCCACATCTACAAAAATGATCTCACTCTCAGAAAAAAAGGGTGCTGTCCAGGTAAGGTTTTGTCCCCAGTGAACAGTGAAAATGCATCATCAAAGGTATAACATGATCCTTAATGTCCAATTCTGTACCTTAAACTTTCTTTAAGGGTACATTACATTCACGTTACCAGGTGAAAGGGGCTAATTATGTATTAACCTTTATTTAAAGGCTACACTTCTTAAGTTTTGTCTGCCTTATGATGGACTAGCAGCCTGTCCAAGGTGTTTCCTGCCTTCCACCCAATGAGCACTGGGATAGGCTCCAGCACCTCCTGCGACCCAGAAGGATAAGCCACCTAGACCAGGCATGTCAAACTGGGGATCTTCCGGGCCAAGGTGCTGCAGATATTAGCGTTTACCCTAATCTAACGCTCTGATTTCAGTTCTTGAAGGCCTTGCTAATCAGCAGATGAGCTGAATCAGGTGTGTTTAATGAGGCAGTGTACTGAAGCATGCAGCGTTTTGGCCCGCAAGGACTGGAGCCTGACACATTTGGCTTAGACATTGAATGAATGAATGACTAATCAAGTTTTGGAGACTTCTTTGGTGGAAATGTGTAACTGCATGCAAAGTGCAGAACATTTTGTGTTGGTTGTGTGGAACTCCTTCCCCAAGCGGATGAATCTGATTATTGCAGTGTTTTTATTCTCCTAATTTAGTAATGCTAATTCCTTCAATTTGACCAAAATCTTTACATAGTTACATAGTTACCGTGTGTAATGTTTACTAAATAGAAACACAAAAAGTCTGGAGTTAAGATGGGGTGTGTGGAGTCAATGTAACTTAAACTATAACTGCAAAGGATTATTGTACCATTATGTTCCTTTACTAAAGGGAACATAATTACTCACCATTCAGAAAATCACCCCAGCATTTGTACCCAGAAAGATACAAAAGCACCTTTTTCTGGGAGTGCTTTGCAGGTGTATGTTGAATAGCTATGCTTGCTAATTAAGCAAAGGCTAAGGTTTCACAATTAACCTGGATGGTTATGCACCTGTCTGTGTAAACACAGCAGGTTGTAATCATGCCAGAGAGGAAATGTGACTCAATGATGTATTTATATGGCTTAAAATTGTCCTCAGATGAGTGTTTACCATTAATCATGCTTTTGTCTGCATACATGATGTCATATCACCAAGTCAGGGCTGTTGAATTCTTCCCGAAATGACTAGCATCCAGCAACAAGTGTTTTTTCTTTACACTGCTTACTTAAGAGGATGGATATTCTGACTTATGCATTGTTTAGAAAGCAGCATAATAAACTAGGAAAAAAGCACTAGGACACTGTGTGAAACAGTTCAGAGTTACAGATCATGCATTCAAGACTTTATAAAGAATAATGAGAAAGCAAAACTGATTTTGAGGATGGAGCTAAGTTGAATGTGGCAAGTTTCATGATGCCAAAAAGGGAATTTTCAGGCACCAGCATCACTCACAACAATATAAACTCTTATATCTTCTTGTGTCAAGGACGCGTCTGAGCTTTTCCTTAACAGATGTTGCAGAAGTAAATGAAAAGTTTTCTGTTTTCCAAAAAAAGGATTAAAATTGCTGGATGGATTATCAGTTGCGGAGGTCAGACTGGGTGTAAGTGTGCGAGGTGGGTGGGGGGGGTAGGCTTGGCTGGTGGACTGTGCAGCGGCTGACAACTATGTCTCCTCTCTCCCTCGGCAGTTCATGGCATCAAGTGGACTTGCAGCAATGGGAACAGCAGCTCTGGTTTCTCAGTGGAGCAGCTGGTGCAGCAGATTCTGGACAGCCACCAGACCAAGCCCCCTCCCCGGACTCACAACTGCCTCTGCACAGGCACGCTGGGTAAGGGTCAGAAAGGAGAGACAGAGACAGAGAAATGGGTAGAGGCAGAGGGTGACCTAATATAGCACACTTAGAACCGAGACATGCTGCACGTCTGAGTGCAGGCAGGCTTTTGGAATATGTATTTCCAGGAAGTATGGAAATTTCCATGCAGGTTAGAGATAGTTTTTAAGTTTTGAGGTTAAGAGATTAATGTAGAAAAACATGTCCAGCATGCTCAATAATCATGACACCACTAGAGGGCCACATTCTTAGGAGACAGATGTGCTAGACTTGTTTGACAATGTCAGAAAACACCTTTTCATTTATTAGTTTTATTTCCAGACAAAATGGCCATTAAGTATGATCAATTGTGTCAGACACAAAATTAGTAGACATATATTCAACTAAAAAATTATGCAAACACTTCCAACTCTAAATACAATTTCAAATCTGTCAGTATTTAATTTGTCCGCTCTTTACTTGTGTTGTGCACCCTTCTGTTTTCCATCCTTCCAGTCATAAAAGCCAACGAGTTACAGCTGTGTCCTCCAACAAAAAGGTTCCCAAAGGAGTCACTGACATTATGTTCCCCTTCAAAGAGACATTAAGAAACTACCCAGACACCTTTGCTGCCCTGCATTTCTTTCACATGTGCATCGAAAGGAGATGTTTCTTTTTTTATTATTCAGTCTGTTTTTTAAACCACTACATCAAACTTACATATAACATAGATACTGCAATACAAACTTCACCCACAACAATCCCACTCCCCACCGATCCTCAGCAGTGCTTACAGGGGAAGGAGAAAGAGAGGAAAAAAACAGAGTAGGTTTAGTTTACAAGTACAAAACACCCAGAGAGCAACAGATACAATCCAAAGCAGTTACCTAATAGAGGCTGTCAAATGAAACAAAGCTACGTTGTCCTGGATTTTAATTATACAAGAAAATGTCCTCAGTATTTCTCACAGATTGTGTTAAATAAATAGTATTTTCTCTGGAGGGATGTAGGAGGAGACTTCTTTTATCCATACAGAAAGCTAAAGGAAATATTTCTGAGGTAATTTGATATAAGATAACCCTTGCATATGGAAGGGAAAAGTCAAAAGGAAAACAATAAATAGTTTCCAGAACTGAGGCTCAAAAAATGATTAAAAGATTCAGGGAAAATGGGAATCTTAACAACCGTGCAAGACTGGTAAATCACCAAAATATCCATCCATCATCATCAGATAAACAGCTTTCATCCTGCATCAGAAAAAAAAGTGACATTTTATTTTGGGTTGTCTTTTTTTGATGAAACAAACACTCAATGCACTTTCAGTAACATACGAACACTCTCAGAACCTATAAAAACATATGAGGGTTAGGATTAGGTTTTGGGTTGAGGTTAAGGTTAGGGTTAGAGTTAGGATTAGGGCCAGGGTGAGGCTTAGGATTTGGGTTGATCTTAAGGTTAGGGTTAGGATTAGGGCCAGGGTGAGGGTTAGGGTTGGGTAAGGTTAGGTTTTGCATAATGGAAGTAACATATTAAGAATACATCTACTTAATGTCAGTAATGTATCAACAGAACATCTAGAAGATATTTACTTCAGTGTATTGAGATGATTCACTACGATACTTCACTGATATGTTGTTGATGCGTTACTGATAATCTGTTAAGAGTTTACTAATCATCTACGAAGGACCACTCCAAATAAAGTGTTACCAAAAAATCCAAATCTGAAAAAATCCACAGGTCTTTGGGTCCATCTGTGGGAAGATAACTCAGTGCTATGAGTCTGAAAGGATGTGTAGCTGTCAAGAAGCCCTTACTGAGAAAAGAAAATAGACAAAAAAGAAAATGATTTGCACTAGAACACCAAAACTAGATAACTGAGATAGTATCTGGAGTAAGGTATGGACTGATAAGTCATGCCAATTTGTAATAGAATAGTGAGAAGCAGAAAATTCAACCAACTTCTAACACTGAACTTTGTAAGTATGGAAAAATATGTCCTCACACATTGCTTTAATAAACTAAAAGCAGTTTCCTGAAAAGCTGTAATAAATGCAAAGAGTGGGCTCATTAAATACTGAAAAATCTTATATTTAGTTGTTTAGATATGTAATTTTCTGTTATTTCTATATATTTTTGCAGCAACTTGTACTCAGTGGCTGTTTTGACTGGAAATTAAATAAATTCAATGGTGCACTTCTGCCTAGTATTGTGATGCAACACACGAAATCCCTATGATTAATTGGACTTTATTATCGTTTTCATTCTAAAAGTTTGGTGTCTTTCTTGTTTGTATCTCAGGTGCTGGCAGCAGCGTGCATCACAAGTGTAACAGCGCCAAACACCGCATCATCTCTCCTAAAGTAGACCCACGCTCGGGTGGCTATGGCAGCGGCCACTCAGAGCTGCAGAACAGCGACGTGTCCGAGGGCAAAACAGAGCACAGCCACAGCAGCAGCAAGGCCGGCACAGGGGCCACAGGAGGAGGGGGAGCGGCACGGGAAAAACGCAACGGTAAAGTGCACAAGCCAGTCCTGCTGCACCAGAACAGCACGGAAGTGTCCTCCACCAACCAAGTGGAAGTGCCAGATACCACCCAGAACTCTCCAGTGTCCATCAGCAGTGGCCTCAACTCTGACCCAGACATGGCTGACAGCCCTGTGGTCACAGGCATGGGTCATGTGGCCTCGGTCATGAGTGGCCTGTCCCAGAGCGTTTTCATGTCGGAGGTGACGGGAGACCCAGTCTACAGCATGTCCCCCACTGGAGGCCCCAACGCCCACATCATGGGTCCAGATGCTACATCCCATGGGCTGGTCCTTGCGGTCACTTCTGAAAGCCACAAGTTTGCCTTCCCTGGGAATGGTGGCACAGACACAGGTGGGCCAGGAACCACAGATGGGCTTTCCATGCTATCTGCAGCCGGGGTCTCCGAAGAACTCATTCTGTCCAGCAGTTTAGACTCAGGCAGCATCAAACTACCAGAGACCACCATGAATTTTGACCCAGACTGCTTCCTGAACAACCCCAAACAGGGCCAGACATATGGGGGCAATGGGCTGAAGCAGGAGAACGGCTCGTCCGGCGCCTCTTCCTCTACTGTGGCCAGCACCAACGGCCTGCAACACTCTCCTTCCATGTCGGACTCCAGCTTCGGCTTCAGCGCCAGTCTGATCAAGAACATCAAGACTGAGGACACCTCATTTGAGCAGCAGCTAGCCAAAGAGAGTGGCTACCAGGTGGGGGCAGTAGTGAGCTGCAGTGTGTCCAGTGGCTCTGGCACTCAGAACTCTCTCACCCTGACCCCTGCTAACTCTCTGCTGCCCTCTGGTGGTGGTCTGAGTCCCAGCACTACACTGGAGCAGATGGATTTCAGCGCAATTGACTCCAAGCCGGACTTCTCTTCTAATACATCGGTAGGTTATGAACAGGCAATGAACAACGCTCACCTGGCCCACCAGAGCCACTCTCCCAGCTTCTTCCTACAGGAGGCGCCGCAGTCGGCCCAGAACCAGCAGGGCAGGCCGAACCCGGGCCAGAAGAGCCACTTGCTGGAGCACAATTCCCATGACAGGGCTTTCGTGGGCATGCAGGTGGTCAAGACTGACTCGCCCGGCAGCAATGGCCACCTCCACCACCATCATGGCCACCAGAATCAGCACAGGCCCAACTGCAACGGAAACTCACCTGTTGAACAGAGCTCAGGGCAGACCGGCTCTCTCCAGCTGCTGCAGTATCCGGGAGGTTTCCCTAGCCTTGGACCAGAGCATGAAAATGTGGTGGGCCACGATCAGCCAGGCAATGCTGGCCCTGTCCAGGCTGGTGGATCTGAAACAAGGGCAGATGGCTTGCTTAAAGCTGGCGATCACTTGCAAGTCTGTCCAGGGGGCAATGCAGAGGGGGGATCGGAGCATTACTTGCAGCCAAACTCTGATAATGGAACAGCAGGGAATGAGTCAGTGGCCCTCAGCAATGGAAATTCCGGCGAAAGCACTAACGGCAGTGGTCAGCAGCAGCTGCAGCCTTTGCTTCAGGGGGCCGGGCTGGTCCAAGGTCTCTACAATGCGGTGGGGAGCCACCAGGCTAGTAGTGGTGGAGGGTCTGGCATGGAGATCAGCCTGGACCACTTTGACATCTCTTTCGGCAACCAATTCTCCGACCTCATCAATGACTTCATCTCTGTGGACGGCGGAGCCACGGCTGTCGGCCCTGGCGGGACACTCTACACCCATCAACTGGTAGCCCCGCCTGGGTCAGATGGACAGCAGGCCTCTGGGAGCAGCCAGCAGCAGGGCCAGGAGGACGGGACAAACAGAGCAGCTGGATACAGCCCCTCTGAGCTGTGTCTCCAGCCCTGCTGCAGCCCTCAGTCTCTCGGTGGAGCAACAGCTGGCACAGGAGGGTCAGGAGAGGCCGGGTCACTGTCCTACATGCACGTAGCTGAGGTGGTGTCAGCTGCTGTGGCTCAAGGCACTCTGGGTATGCTTCAGGCCACGGGAAGACTCTTCATGGTGACTGACTACTCCCCAGAGTGGTCCTACCCAGAGGTGAGCCAATTTTTGTGGAAATCTAACTACACTCTTAAGCTGGCAGTATGCTTCAAATCATTAAAGCATTAAACAGAACCGAACTACCACTGACCTGTCATAAATATACAGAGTGAGTCAAAAAGATTCATCCGACTTCAAAATGATTTATTTCACTTGTAAATTATTACAGAACAATGCAGTAAATTGTACTGTGGTTTAAATGAGCATAAAGTTCATTATGTAATTTTACAAGTGCTCAATATGAACCTCCTCTAGCTGTACAGACATCAACGCCATAGTCAAATTCATCCCATACTTGACTGAGCATGTCAGGTGTCACTGTGCTTACGGCTCTTTCAATGCGATTTCGGAGATCATCCAGTGTTGTTGAGAGTGGCACATAAACGGAATCCTTAACAAACCCCCACAAAAAAGTCAAACGGCGTGAGATCTGGTGATGCTGGTGACCTTTTTCTTTGAACTGTTTCAGCGTACCAACGACAAATGCTCACTACCATACTGACAGTCAGAAACTCTATGACCCCCTCTTTCAATTGGTATGTGATTGGCGCCTCACGGTTGTAAAAGTATGGCGCTTTGAAATCGGATTAATCTTTTTGAGTCACTCTGTACTTGAAAAGATAAAAAGAATTAGAAGTTTCTTGTACGCAGTGGACCAATCACAGTTAGGGGAGGTCCCACAATAAGTGGGGCGGTGATTAGGACGCAGTCAGGGGGAGGTCTAAGAGTAAACAACATGGTGATTGGTAGTCCTGTTTCGCAGCCAGCGCACATCACACCATAGGAAATCAAACAATTGCATCATTTTGGCCAAAAAGGCACCATTTTGCTTTAAAATACCAGTTTCATTTGAGGTATATTGCCAAGATAAAAAACTAAGATTTCTAAATAGTTTCTGGCTTGGACATATGATTCTAGTCTAGGGATCGGTAACATGCGGCTCTTTTACTCTCCTGTTGCAGCTTTACAGCAGAATTCGATTGTTAGGTAAAATTAAAATAATCTTTGCAGTAAAATAAAGCTCTACTGATCATTCTAACACAGTTTCAGTATAACTGCTAATTCACCAGCCTTTAACCCTGAAGGTTGCTGCGCAGACTGCTGGTCACATAGCAGTGCAGATTACAATCTTGCCTGGCTAGTAGCTAACGAAATGGCAAAGAGAAACATGTAAGATGAACATTGATAATTTAGAGACAAATTGACTTATTTACATTTATAATCACTCAAGCTGGTTTCCTGATGCGTTTAATCTGCAACGAAAAACTGACAAACACTAAAAAGTGGCAAAGCTGATGTCAGCTTCTCGTTCACCAGCTTCTTGTTTGAATATTCCTGTTCCACCTTAAATGGTGCTGCAGTTACATTCTGGCACCTCAGGCACCATTTAAGGTGGAACAGGTAAATTCAAACAAGAAGCTGGCCAATGAGAAGCTGACATCAGCCTCGTAAAAAATCAAAGTTGAGAGGTTTTAGCTTATCCATCAACAGTTAACAGCTGAACTCATGAATCAGGGCAAATCTCAGAGTTAGGGCAGATCTTGGAGAGACAAGATCACATGCCAATTCACATGTGTCATGTGACCTAAGGCTGGTGGTCTCTGGAACTGCTGGAAAGAGGCAATGTGATTATTTATTCACTAAGAAATTGTCTTCTGCAATTGCAGTGTATAACCACAAGAGGGCAGCATTATGTCAAAAATATTAGACCCATGTATCACAAAATGAAGCCCACATTCTTCCACATGATGGCAGTAAAACATTTGGCGTGTTCTCCCAACAATAACTTAGGTATGATGCCCCCTTCCCTATTTTCTCTCCTGATCAAATGGGGATCACATTTACTGAATACCTATAGCCAATTAATTATGGATCATTGCATTCTGGAAACACTTTGGGGTCAGTTTATCTATTCTTTTGTCATTGGATAGTGACCAGTGCATTTATATAAAGCTGTATAAGAAAACGTGAACATATGAATGTGGGAGGGTTGTGAATACTTTAAAGTTCAGTGACATTTCTAACCAAAAGTAGGCATTAACTAAAGTTTTAGCTATTTTCCTGGAGATGACTTTGTGAGTTTTTAGCTGTTTTGTCATGTGTAATAATCATTTGCACTTCTAAGTCAAATGTTGAACGCTATTGCTCTCTTTAACCCTTGAGTGGTGTTGGGGTCTGTGGGACCCATTTTCAATGTTTAACCAAAGAAAAAATGATGTGATTTATTATTATTTCAACCCCAGATTCCTTGGCCTTTGCTCATTTTCTGTGAAGGTGGTTCACACTGTTCACCCCCTACACATCTATATTACACATGTGGTGTTGGGGTGAACCCGCAGGGAATAAAAGTGAGGAGGTGCTGTGTCCCTTCGCTCTGTTCTCCTCCTACATGGCCTGCTGTTAGTATGTGTGTCTGTGTGTGTATGTGTTTGTATATGTGTGTATGTGTGTGTGAGGGTGGACAACATGGACAGGCTGCTGACTGGCTATGGCTGCTAAAGGAGAACCATTCGCTGACCACTCGTGATATTTTAAACATCTGGTATTTTTACATAAAATGTTATGGTTATTATTTAAAAAAACAATAATGCGGTGGGTCCACCAGACCACTGAATAGCAAACACATCAACACCACACAAGGGTGAAATTGTTATTGTTAACTATTTACTTAGCAGACAAAACTGATATTTCATGTGTTCCTATATTACTGTCATTTGTCTTTTGTCACAGGTTAGAACAATGAAGTGAAATCATTAAGACATAAACTGAGGCCTCAATTTAATGTTTAATTATATTTTCTTCCTGATGTACTTAATAACACAGTTTTTGAGCATATAGCTCAATGCTTTTACACTTTTATATACAACGCTTTTACACACACACACACACACACACACACACACATATATATATATATATATATATATATGTATATAAACTTGCATCAATGATAAATCAATGATAAATTGATGCAAGAAGGGCTTCTAACCCCAGGTAGGGTCTTATCTCCCTATTAGGGCAAGATGCCTTTTTTCACTTTCCTTTTTGTTCTATGAAAACAGAGTTGTTTGTTGTTCCAGTTTATTTTTACCTAACTGTTCAGAGGTTTATGCACCATCATCCTGCAGTTTTCCAACAATGCATAAAAGGGAGAGAGATTAAGACGAGTTCTGAGCTAAAAATGGGAAGTTCTGAGCTTTGTGGAAAACTTAATACAGTAATAACTTGTTGTTATAAGGTTTTAAAATACATATCAGTAAATAAACTGTGTACGCTGTAATGGTAAAATGTTAAGTGTGTGTGTGTGTGTGTGTGTGTGTGTGTGTGTGTGTGTGTGTGTGTGCGTGTGTGTGTGTATGTTGCAGGGTGGGGTGAAGGTGCTGATCACTGGCCCCTGGCAGGAGGCTAGCAGTCACTACAGCTGCCTGTTTGATCAGATTTCTGTCCCAGCCTCCCTCATCCAGCCTGGAGTCCTGCGCTGCTACTGCCCGGGTAAGCTCTCTCTCAGTTACACACGTACACAACCGGTGTTTAAGGGGTTAAACAAATGAAATATGACAAATTTAACTCTTTAAACTCCTTTTTTGCGGTAAGCATTATAAATGATTTGGAACCTATTATGAAACTACTATGTAAGTCACAGTACTGTGCAAATGTCAGAGACCTTACTTCCTTCATTTATATTACCCAGTATGTTACAGACACAAGGACCTTATCTTGGTGAGCACACATGTATGACATGTAGCATACTGAACAGACCAGACAAGCACACAGACTATTAACAAGTATTTAACTAAAGGACAAATAAAGTATAAATTGAATAAAAGAATAATTAAGAATAATCAAGAGCCAATGTGACAGGAGCTAAAACAGATTTATTATTATTTGTACATATGCAGGTCTGAGGAGACGTGTAATATCATAACTATTCTACACTCTCAGAAATAAGGGTAGTAAACTGTCACTGGGGCAGTAGCCCTCTTGGCACAGTGGTGGTACCCTCAAGGGTACATCTCAGCACCTTTAGTCAGGGAACATAACTGTACCATAATCAAGTTGTACTCCACACACCCCGTCTCGTCTCTAGGCTTTTTATTTTGTTGTTCTGTTTTAAAACATTAGGTTATGAAAAGGTACCAATATGTACTTTTCACCTAGAAAAAAACTTATTGAAGGTAAAAATTTGACCTTAAAGCCACTGTTGTAGCTTTGAGGGAACATTTACATTGTTTGTATCTTGATGAACGAAAAATGTACCAGCACAGAACCTTTATTTCACTGTATCGTCACTGTCCTAACAAAAAAGTTGTATCTCCAAAATGGCAACTTTACCAGAGAAAGTAAAAACTTTCTTCATTTTTAATGTAAGTCAAAGTAAAAAAGATTGTCTTATATACAGAAGAGGCCATGAGCTGTTGCTATAATTTTCTTATATTTTTCTTTGTTATCATGAGATAACAATATGATTAACTCTTTACCTCAAGACAACGACTTTGTTGTCTAGAGATAACAATATAATTCACTCATTATTTCCAGATAACAACTTTTGTTATCTTGTGATAACAAGATAGCTCATTATTTCAAAATAACAACTTTGTTATCTTGAGGTCACAAGATAAATAACTTGTTATCTCAAGAAAACAACATTGTTATCATGATAACAATATGACTAACTCATTATCTCAGGATAACAACTTTGTTTTCTTGTTATCTTGAGATAATTAACTCGTTATTTCATGATAACAATTTTTGTTATTTCGAGATAACAAGATAATAAATTCATTATATCAAGACAAAATCCAGAAAATTATAACTACCTTATGGCTTCTCTGGACTTCCATACTTCCAAGTGATTTTGTATCATTTCTGTTGGTCCTTTCATCATGGAATTCTCCCACAATGTACCAGGTACCATGTTCAAATGATGCAGAAAAATAAAAATTGACAGGTATCGACAGCGACAACATACAAAATATTACAGTGTGATATGAACTTTTGTTAAAATGAACATTTGTACAGTTGTGCAAATATGCATTATGTTACAGAAGGTGTTCTACTGTAATACAGTCCTCAGAAAGATCTCTTAGAGAGCTTGTACTTAACTGTTTTAGGACAGTCTTTGACTTTTGCACAGTATTGTATTTGTATGAGAGTGTGGAATTGTGGATATAAGGTTAATCTACACAACACACATCAGTAATCACTAAACTTCTGTCTACTGAACATCCCATTTTTTCGAACGTGTCAAAAGCTGCCGTTCACATAATATTACCCCAGTGGCCCCGGCTTTTAATTGAGCAGTGTTCCTGCGGCCTCTGGGGCCTGCTGCTGTCAAACCAAGCATGAGAAGTGCTGGCTGAAGTCTCCTGGGCACTGATGCGATTTTCTCTCGCTGTCACTCTAATGACTAATGCGCGTTTCTCTCTTTGTCACTCCGCAGCCCATGACACAGGGCTGGTGACTCTGCAGGTTGCAGTCAGTAATCAGATCATCTCTAACTCAGTGGTGTTTGAATACAAGGCCCGCGCGCTGCCCTCACTGCCCTCATCTCAGCACGACTGGCTCTCTCTGGACGGTAAGGCTACCTTTTTTTCATTGCTGCTCGGTGCTTCTGGCTTGCTCCTATCCATCTGCAGTAAATGTCTGTGGGTATTTATTGGGGCTGCTGTTTTATTGGCATGATTATGATTTGTAGACTGTGACAGGGAAAATGACTGAAAAATGTGTTCACAGTGAAGTTGGATCAGTGAATGTTGGATGGCCTGTCAAGTCAGGGGGCCAACAACAAGGATCTCACATAATGTCAGAAAGTGTGGTGGACATGTCCCATTTGAATCACTGAGTGATCGACAGATTGATGGAGTGATGGATCATGTTTAAAAAACGGATCTGATTCTGGACTGTCTGGTGCTTGTTTGGCATTAATATGTATATTCCACTGAGTAACCCCATTCGTCTTTATATATGCACTTTTAATGGGACACATGAACTAGAGACAGTTTCTTAAGTTGGTAATAACTATATAATTATATAATTGTTGTATCTTCGCCTGCGGCTTTTCTAATTACCCCACATTTGTATTGACCGATTAAATCTGTGTTGTAGAGTCACAGAGACAGTGTGATGGAGGACAGTTCATTCTGCATTTCTGACAAATTCAGAGTTTTGGAGGAGGTTAATGTAGCTTCTGTCCTCAGGGTCTGGAGCTAGACTAGTGACAGACCACTAGAGGGCATCAGAGTGCTGTGGCTCTGAAACCAATAGCTTTAATGGGGAGTTGACCTCATTTTTTCAAATTTCTGCATAACTAAATGGTTAAGATGTAAACAAAGTTGTTCAGCATAGTTTGATGTGAAATTATCAGGTCAAAAGAAACTTACCAGGTCAGAATTATTCACAACTAGACTTCCGGAATCTTTAATGCCACTAAAATCTATCTCACTGAAAGTTATTACATTAAATGGATACCTGATGCCTGAGATATTGTTTTACAGTAGTAGTATCACCACCACTGTAAAGAAATCCTGGTAAGTTTCTTTACAATGAACTATTACACTTTTAACCACTCAGAATGAATATGTTTACACCTCAGTGATTGAGTTATGTAGAAATTTTGAAAAATCTGTGAAATTTCCCTTTGGTGTCAGCAGTTTCATATTGAAGGTCCCAAATTCAGCCCAAATCTATGACTTTCTTCTAATAGGAGCAGTGGAAAGAGTGTGTGTCTGTCTGTGAACTCCTCTCTGATTACGAGCCTTAGGAACTCTTTTAAGATGCTGTTGATGGTTTGCCCAGTGTCCTTTAATCTGGCTTAGAAGTTGAGTGCCAAAGAGAGCATGTGCAAAAAGGTGATTTATATAGAGGTTAAAGGTATTAGGGTCAAAGGCAGAACAGGTTTCCAGTTCCTCCTGAGACCTTCATGAGTCTTGTGTAACACCAGAGATTGCAGCTCAAGGCTGACCGCTTCTTCACTGAAACTGATGTGGGAATGTTTGCTACATCTTCAGTATCCATAATGAAATGTCTAATGGGTAAAAGAGTAAACCGATGTCCTTAAAAGCATTACTATATTTCAGCTACCCTGAGTGAGTGGGTAGGTCCACATATACAGCACACACAGAATGAGTGAATGTACAGGATGGTACCGGTAAAACAATGTCGACATATGAAACATTAATTTTTGTTTACAATCAATATGGGATTCATTAATGTTCAGTAAGGAGTATGGGGAACAGATATTATGCAGTGGAAACTTTAATAATGTAACCACTGGTAAACGTTAATGAAGTTCTTTAGGTTACTTCATCAAATATATTTGTTTCAGAGAAGAACACTTTTCACAGTCTTACTGGAGGAAAATTCCGGACTGCACTAGAGATTTTGTAAACACTAAACTCTGGGGCTGTTTTTCTTAAAGTGGTGTCACTGATGACTCTATAACCTCAGTAGTGTAGAGAGGCATTTCAGGCATTAACCTGCAGACGTCTGTAAAGAAATTGCCCAGACAATAACGATCCAAAACACAACAACACAATCGATCCAAAACGCACAAGAATGTGTCCTTGTATACACCTCAGTCAGAATAGACTAGACCTATTGAGGCCATTCAGAATACAGTTTCTATCTGATTGAACAAGGTGGGTAATCTTGTAAATAATCTGTTAAATAGAAGAATAATAACAATGTAAACGCCTGCATTTGATTATGTTCCCAATCGGAAAGTTTAAGTACATTCTGTGCAGAACGTACTTGAACAGATTGTTGAATAGAGTGAGCATATAAACTCTTAATCTATAATCAGAATGTATTCAATCAGATTGGGAAAAGTCTTTGCATGTAAACACAGCCACTCTTCATTTGCTTAATTTAAGACATATGGGGGAAAAATAAAACATAAAATGTGGCCTGTGCAAAAGTTTAATGCATAACTTTCTTAACTTTGAATGGAAGTTATTCTTTTTACAATTTCCTATTGCTCTAGTTAACATGGATTTTTTACACAGTGTAAAGGGCAGCTGGTATTTTAAAATTCTGTAAAAAAAAAAAAATAATAATAAAAATGACAAAAATGGAGATACAAGGTTTTGTTCTAACAGTGGCAATATAAATATGTAGACTCAGTGCATTTAATCTGTTCCTAGAATGCTAGGTTAGTTTGGAGCTGTTTGCAGAGAGCAACCTGATTAGTTCAATTCAAACTGGTACAGAATTAAACCGATCAGTCATGAAGAAGCATAAGTCAAGTTTATTACTTATTTATTATATGTAGACCTTTAAGTTGTGCTATTCTTACATATGTGTAAGACAACTATACTACTGTGCAAACCAGGCAATCTGTATCTACACTCATTGTCCATTTTATCAGCTCCAATTATTATATAGGTGCACTTTGTAGTTCTTCAATCACAGGCTGGAGTTTTTAAACACCTCTCTGTCACTGCTGGACTGAGAAGAGTCCACCAACCAAAAATATCTAGCCAATAGCGTCCTGTGGGCATTGCCTGTGACCACTGATGAAGAACTAGAGGATGACTAACACAGACTGTGCAGCAACAGATGAGGTCATCTCTGACTTTACATTTACAAGGTGGACCAGCAAGGTAGGAGTGTCTAATAGAGAGGACAGTGAGTGGACACTGTGTTTAAAAACTCTGATCCACTCGTACCAGCACAACACACACTAACACACCACCACCACGTCAGTGTCACTGCAATGCTGAGAATGATCCACCACCCACATAATACCTACTCTGTGGTGGTCCTGACCATTGAAGAACACGATGAATGAGGGGTAACAAAGTATGCAGAGAAACAGATGAACTACAGTCTGTAATTGTAGAACTACAAAGTGCTCCTTAATGGTAAGTGGAGCTGATAAAATGGACAATGAGTGTAGAAACAAAGCAAGTGTGCTTAATGTGATCAGTTGGAGAAAAGAAAAACTTTTAATGTATGTTCATGACACAACAGTTACATATTTTAAGGAATGTTTGACCATTTGTATTGGTTCATTTCTCATAAAATTTTCAGTATAAAGGTCCGTTGTTTTCAAATGGTGTACCAAATTGTTTTTAAAAATGCAAAATGTTAAAGGTTTATTTTAAAATCAGCTGGGAGTGCATAAGAAATTAAGACGATGGCCTTCTCACAGCCCCGTGTGTGCATGTTAAATTTACACAGCCAAAAGGTCATGGCAGATAATCCCATCACTTGCCCTCTTAAAGCCTGGTAAAACAAACCCAGTCCAGCACACTTGCCTCAGCGCTGGCCAGCCTGGCTCAAACAAGGGCTGTGGCGTCAAAGAGCTTATGAAAATATTGGAGCATATGGACAATGTGACGTGCTTGCCAATTTGACGTCTGTGGCACTAATCTGTTTGCGCTGATCAGCTGATGGGAGCTTTAGCCAAGACAAGCAATCCCAGTGAAGAGTCTGGGCAGTGCGCTGCGAGACGGGCAGTGCACGGCTAGCGAATGTGTGCCAGAGTAAACGTATGGAGCTCAGGGCAGGACAGAGTGAACGGAGCCGAGCCAGGAGCACAGCACAGCCCTCAGAACAGGACAACAGTAAGAGACAATGGAGCAAAAAACATACACATAAACAAAACCTCACATCTCCAACAAAGTAACTTTACAGGAGAAGGAAAAACAGTTTTAACTGTCAACGTAAGTTAATCTAACAAGATTTTACTCTGTGTCATTTTGGATGATATCTGTTGGTCTGTTTGTCATGAAATTTTGACAGAGTGTGAATGGCACATTATTTGCTTCTCAGCAGTCTTTTACTGTTGCTATGAAGAGAACACACAGTATGCTTAATCTGGTCCCAAAATCCTGTTAATTTGTCAGTGCTTGCACAGACCAACCTGATTGATCAAATTCAAATTGGCACAGAATTAAACCAATCAATCCTAAAGAAGCATGTCAAGTAAAGTTGATTTTTATTCCATTATCTTTTTTTTTTGTGTGTGTTATGCCAAGCATCTCAGTTTTCATGCAAAATAATTAATAGAGGGGATATATAATTTTTTAAAGAAATATTGTGATATCGGCCTGCAAAATATAAATAATACAGTAGGCAGCAATATGCAAATGTGCCCTTTAACAAATTAACAAAGTACTTGTTTTATGTGTGTATCCTGACCAACCTCAGACGTTCCATATGGGTTTCTGTGGGTGTTAGGATGAATCAAAGCATTTACATGATCCAAAACATTTGGTCCAATCTTTGGTAAAAGGAATGCAGGCCAGCCTTTAACCATATCACCTCAAATATTCACTGGGTATAAACTGTAAACAGGGGTGAATCTCATCTGCAACTTAATTAAGCATTACCAAACAGCACAGAGACATTTAAATAATAAATATAATCCTAAAGCAGTTCAACAAAGCATAGAACACCAGGGCATTTTAACAGTGAGGAAGTAAAAATTTTATGACCAAGATAGGAACAGGAAAAATCTGAAAAAAAAACCCAAATAATAAATAAAAAATAAGACAGTCCACAATAAAAGTTTCAAAATGAACTGACTACAGTCAAATAAAATGGTAACACTTTATTTGAGAAGTCCACTTT